GTAAACATATTCTCTCCGTCTAGTCTCTGGTGTGTTCTTTCTTAGATGTTATCGAGTTGTGAGATAAGGTGCTTGATCAGCTGTGGTGAACTCTACTTCTTGGTAATGGGCCACTGTGGAAGGGAATGAGCCACACATTTTAAAGGCCCGTGGTTACTCCTCTCAGAAGAATTTCCTGACTGGAGTTCTCCAAGAGAGGACGGTCATGACAGGGCCATTCTGGGGCCTGCTTCATATCCTTGATGCAGATTAGGGCAAAAAGGCACCAAAGGTGTAGCCAATACTTGTGGAAGGACCCCTTAAAGACCACAAGGTAAAGTAAGGGAGACTTTTCCTCCCCCCAAACTTTAAAAAATTAGTTTCAAAAGATTTGGATCTCTTTTTATAAAATGAATGTTGAATTTCAGTGTACGTGAGAGAGAAATAAGAACAAATACATCCTCTTCCTTGCTGGTTGAGTGGCATTTCTAATGCTCCTGAAATCATTCATCATTCATGAAAATGTCTTAGTAGTTATGTCGTTAAAGTTAAAGCAGTGATAGCTCTGTTCATTCATTATGTTGGGGTGCTGTCCTTAGGCAACTTGGAGCTCACAGTAACATGGTAAAGACACAACATGGTGGAAATAAATTAAACAGAAGAGTTGAGAAGAAACCATCATTTATTAATTAATTATTTATTATCACACCATATTCCAGAAGGATTTAAAGAAGGTAGAATTTCATCTCTAGGTCTGAGAAATAGAACAATATATTTATAACTAAGCTATATTTGCCTTACCTATAAAAACAGACCTCTGGGAAAAAGATGAACATTCTGATATTATTCGGGGGTGCCCACTTAAGAGTAAAGTAACATCATATCTGCATCTCTCTGCATTTTCATCATTCTATACCAGGACTGAACAGAAAGCTATAATTAATTTATAGCTCATAAAGTTGGATTATAATAACTTTTTAAAAAATGCCACCAATAGGGAGTAATTTTAGTGAAGCAACTAAAAAATGAATGTAAAGATGCTAATTATTTAAAGTGTTATTAAGGTTGACAGATATGTTTTAACTTTGTTACTCATTTATTTTTTTAAAAGCTTTATTTTTAAAGAGGGGGGGAGGGGTGGGAGGAGAGGGAGAGAAAGAATCTCAAGCAGACTCTCTGCTGAGAGTGGAGCCCCACACGGGGCTCAATCCCATGACCCTGAGATCATGACTTGAGCTAAAACCAAGAGTGGGACACTTAACCGACTAAGCCACCCAGGTGTCCCAAATTTGTTACTCCTTTTAAATGAATCAGGAATAACTAAATATCCCCAAATCCTACTTTGGAATTTTAAGGCACATTGAGAGAAAGCTAAAAAAAATTCAGTTAAGTAATGTGGGATGATTGAATTTCTACTTTCTCAATGCTTTTATATGTATTAAGCCCTTCTGTTCAGTAAAAACCATGATTATAGCAGTGGTTCCCAAACATTAGTGGGTATCAGAATCACTAAAAGAACTTGATAAAACAGATATCTGGACTCCACCTGACCCTTTCTGATTCTGAAGTAGATCTGGAATGGGGCCCAAGAATTTGTATTTCTAACGGATTTGAGTTTTGCTGATGATGCTGGCCTGGGGACAGTGTTTGAGAACCACTGCTTTACATTATATATCAGAGACAAATGAAGTTAATGTTATCTGTAAATCTTGATGCCCCTGTGGATTGGCTATGGAACATTTAGTACTACTGACTGAGAAACAGCAAAAGTTCCCTAACCTGTAAGCAGCTACAACAAAAATTAGATTAAAATATAAAAAAAAATTATAAATTCAGAGTATATATCCATGAATTATGAAATTATTTCAATGTCTTGAATGTTAAACTTGTATTATCTTTATACAAGCTTTGTTCCCCATAATAATAGATTCTTAAAACTAGTTAAAGGACTTTCATATTAAAGGAAAAACAAAAAAGAGGCTGAGGTCATTTCCTATGTGTCAATCAGACCCCATAATATTTAGGCAGTTTTTAAAAGAACAGCCTGTTCATTAACCGGATGAATTTAGTGCTGTCCAATTCTATAAATAATTTAAGAAGAATGAATTGGCTTTCAATAATAAAAATCCTTTCTTCTTTTTTTTCAAAATTAGGTAAATGTTATCACTCTAATTATCCCCTTCAGCAAATACAAGCTATTGATGTTGTTGGGTCATTATAGTGACCACAAAAACAAAGTTCTGCTTTATACATTTGATAAAAGCTAAAACTTACTATGTTTATTTTTCATATATGCAAATAACTGGTTTGTGCACAGTTGGTGCTTAATATTTGATGAATAAACAAAACCAAGTTATCATAAGCCAGAGCCATCAATATTTTAAAAAAATCTACAAATTCACATAAAAATCTGGAAACATAAATGCCTTTTTTTCCATGCCACCCTTGGATAACTGCTCTTATCTACAGGACACGCACAAGTATGATGGAAAAGTACAAGTTTGTAAAAGAATTGCATTAAGTACCACCAATATCTATTTATAGATCCAAGGATAAAACAGATTTGTTTTCTCTTCCCACCGGGCTGAGCACTGCAGCCTGATAGTTCACCTACCCCCTCTTTAAAGAGAGCTTTGTACTTTTTAGAACTTAATTGTTCAAAGAGGATCTGTCATTTACCTAAAGAGTCTTTACTACAGTAAAATGCTACAGTGTAGAAAAGAACAAATATGCTGTTGTTCTGAGATGGTGGTAGATAGGAGAGCTACTCTGCAGGGGCTGAAGAATCCAAAATAAGCTAATAGCTGCTATGGTATAAGATTTGTAGTTGAGGGCATATAAAGCTTTGGTGATAATTCCCAAGAAGTGGTATTTATGAAACTTTCACGAAGTGCTAGCAATGTTTTAATGAAGACGGAGTGTAGCAGATTAATGAGGAGTGTGGACTTCGAAGACATAATTCCTGGGGGTGAAACCTAAGTCTTCCACTTCTTGGTGGTGTGATACTGGGCGAGCTGTTGAACATTCCTTTGCCTGAGTTCCTCATCTCTAAAATGGACGTAATAATGTTACTTACCACATAGGGTTGTTGGGAGAATTAAATGAGTAAATACATGTAAAGGCTTAGCCTGGCGTCTATTATACCTACTATATGAATGTTTGCACTTACTATCATTTTTATCATTTATCATTTCTTCCATTTTTAGTATTGCCTCGTGGTCCTCTTTATTTCCCATCCTATTCTAAAATCAATTTCAGCACTGCCTAATTTCTACTGTCTCCATTAGTCTTAAACCCTGAATTTTAATTGAGAAGTTAGACATTAATCAAATCTTAATCGCTACATTTTTAAATCATCTTAATTCTAGTTTAAATCATTCATTCATTCTCTATCTTATACCACTTTTTTGAAACAGAGATATAAATGTCTCATTTTATCTCCTTATTCACCAGCAGTTTTAGACCTCAATACTAAATGTACTGCACAGTTAACACTGTTAGAGACTGAAACACTGAAACAAATTTTCCTGGCTTGAAGACTTCCACAACTTTCCTGATCAGGTCATCATAGGAGGTCTGACTTAAGTTTGTTTCAAAGCTAACATAAGAAAATTCTGGTTCTGGAGTGATGTGAATAGTCCAATAAGTTCCATCCGATTTCATTCCATTCATCGAATACCCACAAGGATTGAAAAGTGTGGCATCAATGACAGAACCTGGTATCAGGTCACGAATTCCACTCTCACGAGTGACATCCTTTGCAGTAACACCATCTTTCATGTAGAACTGGTCCATAACTGCTGGGTCAAGCTCATTCATCAGAATTTCCAGGGTTTTTGATCTGGCTGACTGATTACCTGAGTCTCTGGGAAATCCAAAGTATACAAGTACCAACAGTCAGAATTCATACGTCCCATACAATATGCTGCTCCATTTGGGAAAATTGCATTAAGAAACTCTATTTCTTCCTGGAAATTCCGGTGTGGGTACCCTTGGTGAGAAGGCTTCATGAAATTCTTACGAGAATAAAAGAAGCTTTGAATTGAATCAAACCCACTGTAATCCCTAGCGAGTTTCAACAGGGGAACCAGTGCTTTCAGCAAGAGGGTGGTACCACATGTCTTCAAAATGAAACGTCTCTTGGAGACAAACATGAAGGGTTAAGCATCCTATAATTGATTAAAGTGTTTACAAAAAATAATATCAAATGAAAATATGTATCTCCATTTTGTACATTAATGATGATCCCACCATCTTGTCTGTTCCTCTAAAATAAACACATTTTCTAGGCTAATTTTCAGACCATGAAGCTTTAAAGACTATTAGAATTAAGAAATCTGTTCTAGTTACAAAAGTCTTCTTAGGATCATTATGTTGGCTGGCTGCAATGGGAAAGGGGCCACTGCTGTGTCTTATGTATTTACCAACCTTGTCTAATCATTAAGAGTGAGGATGGGGAGATATCATGGGTAGTGGATTTTGTGTGGTGTCATCAACTATACAAATCCTGGGAATCAAATATTAGAAAAATTCCTCCTAATTCAGGAACTGGAATACCCTTCTTGTGTTCAACTGGTGTGTGTGGTCAAGTAAATTATTTGCCCCAATTCTCCATCCTCTCCTGTATCCATGCCCTTTGCCATGGAACTTTGCAGGTTCTCCCGCTCTGGGTAGAGGGTATTTCCCTGCCTCTTTTCTCTGTGCTTGACCATTTGATGTACTTCGGCTAATGCACGTGGACAGACAATTACAGTGTAATGCTTCTCAGCCTAGCCCTTTTCCTCTTGCCAATCTGCCATTGCCACAGAAGAGCTTGAGTAGCTGCTCTGAGTAGCTGCTTCCCTCTGAACCTGGGCCCCAGAATAAGCACAAGTGGAAGAGACAAAAGCCAATTTGTAATAAAGAGCCTAGCTCAGTGGGATCTGCAACCTGAGCAGAGCTTTCCAACAGAATCCAGTTCAAATGAGCCAATCCCGCAAGTGATTGACCCACAGGCATTCAAGAAATATTTATTGTTGTATGCCACTGAGATTTTGTAGTAGTTTGTTACATAACAATAGGTGACTGATACATACATTGAGTTTTATAAAAAAGGCTTTCTTTTCTACAAAGCAGAAATAATTCCAAAAATAATTGTGGCAGATGATATGATTTTATATACATATTTTTAAATACCAATGGCATTTAGGAATGGTAATTAACTTATGAAACAATATCACACATAAATAATAAAGTAAATTTGTATTTGTTGTGTCCTAAATTGCACTATAGGAAAGTACATAATGTGTACTCATTAAGCTACTTGGTTATGAATTTAATAATTGAAATAAAGTCAATGAAACTGTGTAACTGGAAAATTCAACTAATACGTTTAATAAGTATAAATATACTTTCAATAAGTATATTTCTGGGCAGATATTAGATTTGTAAAAATATCCTTAATGATATAATTATACATGACTTAACTACATTTTAACAATAACTGGAATATTATACATAATAAACAGAATCAAAATAAACACTTGAAAAACAAACATTTTAAACAATGAATTATTACTTTCAAAGGACTTAACAAATAATTTGATTTTATGAAATTGAGGGCCATTCAGTTTATAAATGTTAAAGAATCATCCTCTAAGATGATAGACAATGATGTAAATGAAACTATGTAAGAACAAAGTTTTAAAAATCTCATTTATAACCACTTAAAGACTGTTTTTTTTTTTTTAAGATTTTTTATTTATTTATTTGAGAGAGAGAATGAGATAGAGAGAGCATGAGAGGGGGGAGGGTCAGAGAGAAAGGCAGACTCCCTGCCGAGCAGGGAGCCCGATGCGGGACTCGATCCCGGGACTCAAGGATCATGACCTGAGCCGAAGGCAGTTGCTTAACCAACTGAGCCACCCAGGCGCCCTATAACCACTTAAACACTGTTTTGATAAAACAACAAAACTTTTAAGATCTCTTCTGTTGCCTTTTACTATCTATTACGTGTAAATCTTTTAAAATGTAAGTACTGTTTATGAGATAGACAATTAATGGTCCGTTATAGAGAATAATAGAGCTAGACTATACTGAGTAACATATGGTAAAATACAGTTACACGGAAATAAGGACATTCTCAAGTGAAACTGGCTGATTTTAGTATAGAAATATGACTCATAATCTTTTATATACAATTTAAAACTACTGAATTAATGATTATATTGAGATCCATTTAAAATGCTCATTTAAAAAATATTCTTGAAAATCTTTTAAGCAGAAGATCTTCATACTTCAGTATGCTTCTGACATTTAGTAAATTGCTAAGGACGTGAGTTACTTTCAACAGTTTCTACTGAGTTCAAGAGAATGCCCAGTCTCCATAAATAAAAAGTGAATAAAGGAAACGCATCAGAGAGTTGGAAAATAGTTTCATCATGCTTTTGAAGAAATTTCTTGATTTCTTGATCATCATGCCCTACACTTGAAGTGTTGCCTTCTTTGGTTTCCTTTTGAAGAAGCTGCTCCAGAACCCAGAACAGGGAGAAAATATTTTCATACTGTGTCACATAACTGGCTTGAACCTACAAATAAAAAACAAACTCCTTTAAAACACATATTGGTTGTAGCTCAGCTCAGAAAAAGCCAAATAAAGATATTAAATTTTCAGACAAAAAGTAAATTCTTGATATATTTAACACTTTCTATCTTCCTGTTCCTTTAATTGTGATAGAGGGAGAACAAAGGAGAACATTTCCTTTCTTTCAAAAACTTTACAGTTTTGGTGAATGACTTTCCTCTTGATGGTTTATAAAGCTCAAAATCCTTTCTCTGTACTACTGCTAAAATTCATTACTCAGATGAATCTGAGAATACTTGACAATGTCTTGTGTGTTGAATTCAGTGTTGTAGTAAAGACTTTCAGTGCATGACACTGCCAATGATAACATAAAGATTTTGGGGGTAGGGTTTTAAGAATGTTTTTTTTTTTTTTTTAAGATCTTATTAATTTGAGAGAGAGAGCACACACAAGCAGGGGGAGAGGCAGAGGGAGAAGCAGGCTTCCCACCAAGCAGGGAGCCGGATGTGGGACTCGATCCCAGGACCCCAGGATCATGAAGGCAGACGCTTAACGACTGAGCCACCCAGGCGGCCTAAGAATGTGTTATGACTCAGTATAGAGTAACTCAGTATAACTCAGTCTTAGAACAGTTATGATCTCTAAGAGACCAGATATGATCTCATTCTGAGTCTACACAAATCAAGGAGGAACAGGAAAGATTATGTGGAATCACATACATGATCATGAGGAAAAATACAGATGTGTCTTGAGAAGTTATTGTTTGGCTCTAGATGACTGAAAGTGAGATGAATCAAGTAAGGCCTAAAAAGTGGACAATGGAAAGCATAATCTGAGGGGATACAGGAATCAGTTTAAAGATATAAACTGGGGGCACCTGGGTGGCTCAGATGGTTGGGCGTCTGCCTTCGGCTCAGGTCATGATCTTGGGGTCCTGGGATCGAGCCCTGCATTGGGCTCCCAGCTCGGCAGAGTCTGCTTCTCCCTCTCTCTCTGCCTCTCCCTCTGCTTGTGCTCTCTCTGTCTCTCTCAAATGAATAAATAAAATCTTAAAAAAAAATAAAGATATAAACTGGCTTTATCATTTGCTTATTAAGACATGTGTTGGAAACAGTCCCCAAATCTATCCACTCTAATAATACATAAATAAAAAGAAACATTCTTTTAGAGCCCAGAGGAATGTACTCCATAACAAGGTGGTCTTATAAACAGTTAAATATATACTTTCTTCTTACTGAGATATAACTGACATAACATATTAGCTTCAGGTATCACATAATGATTGGATATTTATATACATTACAAAATGATCACCATAGTAAGTCCAGTTAACATCTATCACTATATAGTTACCAAATTCTTTTTTTTTGTGACGAGGACTTTCAAGATCCACTCTCCTAGCTACTTCCAAATATTCAATACAGTGTTTAGTTAATATAGTTATTAACTATAGTCTCCATGCTGTACACTGGATCCCTGTGACTTAAATTCATTTTATAACTAGAAATTTGTACCTTTCCATTCCCTTCACCCATTTCAGCACCCCCTAACCCCCACCTCAGGCAACTAGCAGTCTGCTCTCTATATTCATGAGCTTGGTTTTGTTTTTGTTTTTTTAATTTTATTTTATTATGTTATGTTAATCACCATACATTACATCATTAGTTTTTGATGTAGTGTTCCATGATTCATTGTTTGTGTATAACACCCAGTGCTCCATTCAATATCCCACATATAACTGCATTATATGGTATTTATTTTTTTCTGTCTGGCTTGTATCATTTACATATTGCCCTCAAGGTCCATACATGTTACAAATGGCAAGATTTAATTCTTCTTTTATGGCTAGATAATAATCCATTGTATGTATGTGTATGTGTACACACACATATATAAATATGTATGCATTTATGTATATACATACACACACACACACACACAAACACACACACCATACCTTCTTTATCCATTCATCCATCAGTGAACATTTAGCTTCCTTTCATGTCTTGGCAAGTATAAATAATGCTGCAATGAACATGGATAATACATATATACTTCTGAATTAGTGTTTTCTTTTTCTTTGCATAAATACCCCAAAGTGGAATTTCTGGATCATATGGTAATTCTATTTTTAATTTTTTGATGAATCTCCATAGTATTTTCCATAATGGCTACACCAATTGACATCCCCACTGACAGTGGGAACACAAGGGTTCCCTCTTTTCCACATTCTGACCAACATTTATTATTTCTCTCTTTTCGATAATAGCATTCTGACAGGTGTGAGGAGATACCTCATTGTGGATTTGATTTGCATTTCCTTGATGATTAGTTATGTTGAGCATCTTTCTATGTACCTGTTAGCCATGTCTTCCTTGGAAAAAATGTCTATTCAGATCCTCTGCCCATTTTGTAATTGGACTGTGTTTTTGCTGTTGAGTTGTAGAAGTTCTTTATATATTTTGGATATTAAGCTTTTATTTAGTATTTGATTTGCAAGTATTTTCTCCCATTCAGTGGGCTGCCTTTTATTTTGTTGGTTTCCTTTGTTGTGCAGAGGCTTTTTAGTTTGATGTAGTGCCAATTGTTTCTTTTTACTTTTTTTTTTCCCTTTGCTTTAGGTGTCAAATCCAAAAACTAATTTCCAAGACCAATGTCAAGGAGCTTGCTACCTATGTTTTCTTCTAGGAGTTTTATGGTTTCAGATATTAAATTCAAGTCTTTAATCCATTTTTATTTTTTTCTATGATATTAAATAGTGGTTCAGTTTCATTCTTTTGCATGTGGCTGTTGAGTTTTCCCAGCACCATTTATTGGAGAGGCTACTTTCCCATTGTACATTCTTGGCTTTTTTGCCATAAATTAATTGACCATATATATGTGTGGGTTGATTTCTGGGCTCTGTGTTCTGCTCCATTGATCCATGTGTATGTTTTTATGCCTATTCCATACTGTTTTGATTACTAGACCTTTGTAATATAGTTTGAAATCAGGAAGCATGCCTCCAGCTTTGTACTTCTTTCTCAAGATTGCTTTGGCTATTCAGGTTCTTTTGTGTTTTCATACAAATTTTAGGATTGCTTGTTCTGTTTGAGACTTTCCTGAGAAACAAACTGAGGGTTCTAGAGGGGAGGGGGGTGGAGGGATGGGTTAGCCTGGTGATGGGTATTAAAGAGGGCATGTACTGAATGGAGCACTGGGTGTTATATGCAAACAATGAATCATGGAACACTACATCAAAAACTAATGATGTAATGTATGGTGATTAACATAACATAATAAAAAAAAAGTGCTTGTAATAAGAACTACTTCTCTAACTGCCTGTATATCACACTCCTACAAACTGGACTCTACATTCTTAAGTGAATATTCCTAATATCTATGTGCCAATTCTCTTGATCTAGAATGGCCTCTCTCATCAATATCTCATTACTAGCACCCTGAGCACCCTTCAGCACCTATCGTAGATGCCACCTATCTACTGAGCCTTTCCCAAGCCCCTCAATTTTATAGATTTGTACTATTTCCCTTATATTCTGGTTGGTTATATTTATTTCATCACCCACTTAGATTCTAAACATGTTGAGAGAAGCAAATGTGTTCCTGTCACTAGTTTCTACAATTCCTAAAACAATGTTTGTCTTGCTCATAGTAGATCTCAATATACATTTGTTGTTTTGAACTGAACAGGAATTAGAGCAATGTAAAAGGAACTACTATAGATACATACTGGTTACTATCTGAAGGAGAATCACAGAGCCATTTTTTAATATTAAAAATACTTTTCAAATACTTATTCCAAACTAAAAAAATTCACAGTATGTGTTTAACCTGATCTTATCAGCAATACTTAAATATTTGTCAACCTGCTCACTAATGACCATAGATAGTACAAATCCTGTATGAGTTAACAGGTAATTCTTCCTTGGAACTATGTTATAAACATAGCTGCTTAACCTATTTAGACATTAACATAAATTAGGTAGCGCTGAAATACAAATTCTGTAGCAAAAGGGCACATTTATTTAATTCACTTTGAAGCTTTAACTACAACAGGGTATGATATTTTATCATGATAATCTAGGCAGGAGTGTTGCAGTGATTTTAGGGTTCACCTCTACTGATAATATTAGCTATATATTTCAGCATTTATCTTACTGGGCTCTTAAAATACATTAGGATTTTGTGAACTCAATGACTATTCTTTTTTGAAATTTAGATTTATTTTTAGTTAACCCTGGTTTTCATGTATAACAATTCTATGAATAAAAAGTTGTCAAATGGTGCTTATCACAAATAAGGGAGTTTCTCCCTTCTGATAAAGGCCATAGCATCCCAGGAAATTTCAGGGCAAGAGTGTGAAGCAGACAGTGTGTCTTGGTACCTTTCCATTGGCTTTGAGATTCTTACTTTGGGCATGTTTAGCTCTGCTTCCAGGTGGGCTGCGGTCCTTGCCCTAGTGCCCCATCTCTATGTTGTTTTGGACTTTGCCTTTACACTTACTAGAATTTATCTGTCTTGGGTTCCACCTCGATCCTAAATGCCTGTACCAAATCATTTGACACATTCTTTTACTCTAAGATATTAGCAGTTACAGAACAGTAATTTGAAACTAACTCCTCTCTTTAGGGGCAGTATACGCTTAGCTAACATGCCTTCACAGCCTTCCTTTCAACACAACTGAAACGGCATATCTGTGGGGGCGGTCTTTCCTGTAGTTCCCAGATTTCATCACACTGGCAGCTGCCTGCTCTGCTTAATCATATGCTCAGACACTTTCTGAATTAGTGTGTAAACTGAATAAAAGAAAAATAAATGCTCTCAAAGTGACAGTCCACCGGATTTGGTGTTATTTTTATACTCTCAGCATTGAACTAGACTGAATCGCATCAGTGTTTGAAAATACCCAACACGGGGCGCCTGGGTGGCTCAGTCGGTTAAGCGTCTGCCTTCGGCTCAGGTCATGATCCCGGGGTCCTGGGATCGAGCCCCGCATCGGGCTCC